TTTCCCGGCCGTAACTGATTGGCACACGATCAAGAGCTTGTGACTAAATAGAAAGTCCTCATGGAAGGACAATTCGGACACTGGGAGCAAGTATTAACCAGAGTTGCTATTGGTGAAGAAGATCACGATATTGTTGCGGAAGACGAGGCTGAGGCAGAAGAAAATGATCTAATGGCTTCTGAGAATTTTGACATGGTGGAGGATTATTGGTACAGTACATAAAGTATATCTTGTTTCATAAGTTTCTCAGTTGGGCTACGTCTGTTTTTGTATGATACTACACTATCAACTCATCATGTATTGTTGCTCTTAGAAGAATTAATCAAGAATTCATTTATGGGCCGGTTGAATTCAAACGCTTCAACATAAGTGCCAATTGAATGTAGCACTACAGATAGCACAACAAAGAATTTTTACTGCATTTGACGACTGAATGAAGTTACAAGTACATAAAGATGATGTTTGATCTTGTTCCTGATGACAGATAATACAAAAGGTGTGACTAGACTATAGTGTATGATAGGAGTTGGCTGCGAGCACCAAAATGTATAAGAACAAAGTCAGTCAGTAAACTTGGATTAATGGTTGGAGAGTGACAGGTGGTTGGGTTGGTTTGGAGTGGAGTGGAGTGAAACAATATACCATAACAGTTCTTGAAATTCGAGGTGACTGACCAGTAAGACATAAGCAAAAGTTGAGACCATTATGTTTGAGAAGCGGTGGTGATCAACTTGAGAGACTCCAGAAAAGGAGCACATCATAATGTTTGGATTTTCTGACTCTTGACCAAAGGTGGTGGAAGAATTGAGATAGTACACCATGTGGTTTTGATCGAGTTGAGAAGGTGTGCCATGGATGATATCAAGTCTTGCATGATGTGTTCGATGGGGTGAGTTGATGAGCTGGGAGAAGTAATTGACATGGATAACGAAGGTGAGATGGAGTGGTGATGAGCTGGAGATTCGAATGAATCGGAGATTCGAATAAATTGTGTACTGTGTTGTGATGTGCTGGTGAGGTTGCGTGTTGAGGTGGTTGAGGGGTGTGGTGAGACCTTGTACTCAATGTGATAACGGAGAATGATCAAAGTCGGTGGTTGATCTGGTGGTGAGGTTACAGGTTGAGGTGGTGTAATGGACATACCGGTAGAAGTGGGTGCTGAGCTGGTGAGCTGGGGGTGGGGGTATACAGTGGAAGGGGACTTAGAGAAAAAAAATGAGAGGAAGCTGCAGCTCCTCAGCTCCTCGGCTCCTCATACACATATCGGACATACTCTGAAGATGCAATTCGTCTTTTCTTTGGATAATATCCGTGACATTGAAAGGACACAGGTGACTAGATGTGTGATCCACAGTTATGTAGAAGCACCATCAGAATTTAATCTGAAGAGTGTCTCTCACAGTCCATGTGAGACCGTTTCCACTAAAAATCAGCACTTTTTCACTGTGAGACTGTCTTTGTATGCAGCTCTCTACATCTAGATTAAACGTATCAAAGACATACTTCCCAAAATAAAACAACAGACATTATTCCCAAAGAATAACTGGAATGCTTTAAATTAAAAATAAACAACTAATCTCTTTCTCATGTTTTTGAGGAGGGCCCGTAAATATCAGCTATACTTCCTATATCTTTCTATATGCGCTTCATGATTCACACCACTGATTGAATCTTTTACATCAAGAGCCCAAGCCACCCGACAGTCCCGTCCCATGAGGTGTATGGGTGTAGGGGGGCGCGGCAGCATCAGGTTCCGCTCCATTTGCAGCAGTAGCAGCATCTTCAACATCACAGGTGTGTTTACTGTGGAAAAAGTATCATGTCAATCAGAATGATCTCGTTCAGATGCAATATTTTTTTGCTTCATCTACTCACATCTCCTGAGCCATTAGTGCCCATAGAAGCCCGGTATCATCTTGATATTCTTGCAACTTGCACTTAAGACATTTGTAAAGTTTGCCTGACAACTTTTCTTGACTCTTCAAAATTTCCCGCTGAGCAATAACTTTGGGATCTTCCGAACGCAACATTGTCTGAACGTATACAAGCATTGTTTGAGTTTTGTAATCGAGTTTTCTGATGTCATCAGTCTCTTCCTCCAAAGGCACAATAGCTTCAATAATCTCCTCAATCTTGTGGCAGTTGAGAAAGCCGTGTGTTTGTACATGTTGAACAATATAGTCAGGGAGTTTGTGGAAGTACCTGATGTCAAGGTTCCGTTTGATATAGATATCAAAGTCCATTTCACGTTCTGCAGAAGTTGAGCCGCCTCTGGGGATTGCATTTGAATCCGGCTTTTGATCATGAAACACAATGGCTTCTAACCCGGGTAAGATGCCGCTACTTACATGGCCTAATACAGGTGGAAATACCATTGCTACATGGTATGTAGACAAAGGCTTCAACTGAGAGCTTTGAAAAGATGAGAAATGGAGAGAGCACTGACCAATACGTATATAACTTATTGATTTGGGATGTGATGAAATTTTGGTGCAGCAGAATCCGGCAGGAGTAAGGATAAATTGACATGGTCTTTGGATAAAACCAATCGAGCCTTGAATGCAGCACAAATCTAATGAAAGGGGTTGTATGTAAACATTTCCACAAACCCACTTGAATTCACAAAGGGTGTAAATACTTACATACCTGAGTGCCATACATATGAACCCCGCTCACATGATCATAGTCAGTCCATCTGTTTTGCTTTTGTGACCTTCAATCCGCATTGAAACTAAATTGGCGTGTGTGAAGTTCCCGTAATTTGGCAATCCTGGTCTCATACGTCGACGCAACAGAGTTACCCAAAGTCTCAAGTTTCATCAAGCCAAGATCATATGCCATCATCATCTTAGGTATCATATCAAAGACCGTGTTGCCCACAGTAAATACTCATGCAATCAAGTTGCAGCATTGTGAAGTAAGCCAAGATTTTGATGTATGCATACAGCAACAATAACTTACAAGGTGTGACCTTGCAGTATCCAGACCCTTGGGTCAAGACTGCTCTAACACTTTCTCTACCTCACGGTGGCCCAGCAGCTTTCATTTGCTTCCCAGAACGTGTAATCGCAGTCTCATTGACACCAGGGACAAATATTGAGCAGATGGTATCTCTAAAATCAGGAGCCACAAACAGAATCATCGGAGGGGGTACAAAAAGCCTGAGTATTCAGCCTGTGCGTGAAAGTGGTGAGCACCTCCCTACTTTGAAAGTCCTGACAACTACCAGCGGGATTTTGGAAATAGAACTCAGCACATCTGAGCTTCAGAGACCCATGTGAGCATGCTACCTATTGTGCTACTCTTTTTGAGATTGATCTTCATGACTTCATCGCTTTTGGCCCTATTGCAGGCCCTTGACTGCTGAGGACTGCCTTGACAGGGCAACTTTCAAGCTCAAGACCAAACTTGATCAGGCTGTCTTCTTTGGTGTATAGAAGAGGTGATCTACTCTATTTCAAGTAATTATCAATTTAAACTGATCAATTTGTCTGTGTCTGCATATATTAGAATTTCATCAATATGGATAAGCCCTGATAAGCCACGATGAGCAGAGATGAGCTGTCCCTTACCTCTGTTGACTTTCTGCAGGACGTCCCACAGGTTCTACCACGCCCAATACAAGACCTTTGTGAAGTCAATTACTTTCTGTGTGCTATCTTCAGAGGTCTTTCCAATGAAGGTTCATGCAATAGTGCTAACTTGGACCTTCTAGCAAGATTGGAGGTTTACCATCATCAGATAAGACAACGTTTGGGAATTCACAAAACCCAAAGCAAAACTCTGACTGGGATGCAAATGCTTGTACTTCAGCTCAAATCAGGGGTGCAATTGTCTGCAAAGCACAGTGATTTGTGATTACCAGTAGTGATGCCCCTCTTGAGGTAGACAAAATATTTGTTGTGGTAATTGTGCACAATGAAACCCAGCAGCCTGTTGATTCCATTATTCAGTGTGATGATAAATCCGATCATAGTTGAGTGGGAAAAGGAAGAACAACCTAAACTCATACCAAGTAAGGTGGCCCAGACAGAGTTGGCTGCCCCCAGGTGTTGCATCTCACAGACCTAGCCATGATGTGTCATTGCAACTTTGAATTGTGTTTATTTTGATGGCAAGTAGGCCCATACAGTTTGTGGAGCATCATCCCTGGAGATTGAGGAGTTCAGCTCAAGTTGAGGCCTCAAACAGAATTCAGTTCAGTAATGAGATTCATGACCAGGCACTGGTTGAGGTTATGATTGACAAAGGCAAATTGAATTGGATGCTTATTTACCACAACTGTGAGACTTTCAGCCCTCCTCACTGTCAAGGGGGATGTGGCGGTCCTTGTGATACCAGGAATTTTGTACAAGGTATGTATTTGAAAGGTATCCTCACAGGGGCCAAAACAGATGCTCACATAGGTGTGAGTGTTGTAGACTTTCCATAAGTCTCCAAAAAAGATTGAGTTTCTTTCAGGTTCATCCAATTGACAATTTTGGTAGTGTACAGGCAATGAGGCTGTTTTGCTCAGATTTTGCTTGGTGTTGCTGGACAATGCTCATTTTCTTCTTGGATGAGCATTCTGTGGGCTCAGTCTCTCAGATGAGGATTCAGGATCAAATCACCACCCTCCCAAATACGTGTCAGGCTTCAGCACTACACAATAAACCCGGCTTTTGTTGAAATTTGGTTTGCGGGGTGTCCAAGAATCGAGGCCAAAACTTGGTTTGACTTCAGCGGGTTTTTGAGCAGAAACCAGTTGTTTGACGGGTTGAGTTTCATACTCCAAGTACAGTTGGCCAACCCCTCACTTACAGATTCTATTAGAAGATAAAATGAGAAGAGATTGTCAAAAAGAGAAAGATGAAGCATTTAATATTGAAAATTAACCAACAATAAAAAGAATATTCTCAATAAGATTCATTTTTATCTCTTCCAACTTCACTTTGTTTATCTAAAATATAAATACGTCAAATTGACTCACATGAGTCAAGTATTTCCATGAGTCGAGTATTCTATCGGCGGTCCTGTCGTTTCTTTGTTACGTTCATCAAATGCCAAATTGCCTTTATTCTGGTCCATGTTGACTTTTCATTTGATCGTACTTTGACTCACCTTTTTTGAATGCTTTTTTTGAAGGTTTCAGGGTTCACTGCGATCTTTTCAACACACCTTTTGTCAACTCTTGAAATCTACAAACAATCCAACTACGTACTTTGATCGGACCAAAGATTCCTGTGTTCCTCTACATTTTGTGCTTTTCTTTGTTCGGCTCTCAATCTAGCCCAATCAGCGTTTTTAATGTTGGTCATTTAGATTTGTAATTTTTGTTCTCCTCCCCACTCATTCTTTGTGTCTCAGTCTAGGGATTTTCTTTACTTTCTTCCTTGCCGTCTCATTTATTGTTTGTCTGTCAATGTCAGATCTCCTCTTACTGAGCTTTTGCTTCGGACCAGGTGCTTTTAAAAGCATGTCTTGCTTTTGTTTTCTTTTTTTAATGCTTATGCATTGTCTGGTTTTCATCAATATCTGACCCGCACCGCTACACACCGCTATAACTCAAAGTTTTTATAGCGGAGCAGTACACCGCAATGGGTGTGAGCGCAATCGCAACTCAATATGGATCCTACCGCTATGACCAGTTCCCTGTGTTGCAGTATACCGCAACGCACCGCAGCGCTCAAACACGCCGCGGCTGTCTCGTGTGGTCAGAGTGGTCTTTTTTTAGAAAAATTATCTAAGATTGCACAAATAGGAACAAACCAGTGTGAAGAAATGAAAAAAACATCTATCTAAGATTGTGACAAAAGCAGATTGGTGAAAAAGTAAAGAGAAAAAATTTTTGAAAGAAGAATAGTGAATAAGAAGGAGAAACAAGCAACACATGTAAGAAAAACAATTAATGAGTGTAAAGAAAAGTTTAAAAAGAAACATAACAGTTGAGAAAAAAAAGAGAAACAAGTGTAGTGCAAAAAAGTTGTAAAGGGAAATAATTGAAAGACAAACAAAAACGAGTGTAATGAAGTGTAAAAGTAAATATGATAGCTAAGAGGAAATCAGGAGGATTTGCCCTTTGCTTTTGCCGACTCCTTCTCAAAGGCGTGAACATAAGCCAATGTGTCAGCAAACTTACCATTGTTGGAACATCCAGCTTTTAACCATTCACGAAGTGCTACTAATTTTGAGATTGAGGATGGAGATAATGCTCCTCGGGCTGGTGTAGCTATGTCAGCTGCGGATGAGAAAGTTTGTTCCACAGCACAAGTGGAGGCCAACAAAAAAAGGTGATCTTGAGCTAAGGTAGCTAGGCCTGGGTACTTCGAGGCATGAGCCTGGATGGTAAAAGAAAGAAAGAAAACAAGATAAGTAAGGTTCCAAACAACAAAAAGAAAGAAAGAATCCTTACCTTCCACCAAGTCAAAGGAGTTTGACCACAAGACACCGCATCATGACCATCTAGATACCTTTGCAACTCTGCTTCTCGTGCCTTGGAACCATTGGCAGGAGTTTGAGTTGCAACAAAAAGGTTGTATGAAGATATCTCCACAGGTTGAGAAGCCGATAAATATTGTGAAGCCGGAGGGGTTACAGGCCAGGCATTTAACACCTCCCCAAAGCGATCCTTGACAACTGACTTGACTGATTCATGGTACTCGGGGTAGTGGAGCTCGAAGATTTTCAGGCACATTTGAGGGTTGAGGACTGTAGCAACAAGGAGAGTGTCACAACGCATAGCCTCATCTTGGTATAAGATGAGCTTAGGTAGCATCTTGCTGATCATCTTGTGAATCAAATCGTATTCAGTTGAGTCATGAACTGCTTGAAGTTCAGAAATGATTTGGTGATATTCCGCTATCAAGATACAACCTGAAGCAAAGTCGCCTTCCATCCTTTTGGTAGAAACCCGGAAAATCTACAAAGAAAAAGATTTAACATCAGTTTAGAGATGAAATTAAGACAAACAAAGGAAAAAGGACCCAGATCACTTACCTCCAAAATCTGGTTCAAAACCTCCAGAGCATCCCATTCATCAGGCAAGATTTAGAGGCCCTGGTAGTATCGTGTCTTACGATCAGATGTCAAAACCACATCCACCACCTGAAATGATTCATTTCAAGTTAGAAAGATGATAAATGAAGGCAAAATAGAAGACAAATCGATGTGAACTCACATCGCGGGCTGAGCATAGGCGCTTTGATACATCTAGATTGATGTTCCATCGCAATCCCCAGCCAGGAATGGGCTGAGGTCCGTGATAGCCAAGTTGAGAAGACTTCCCTTTGAACTCGCCTTGACGTGCCCCGCTTCGGCATAACAAGCCATTGAATTTTTGGCCCTAATAACCAATGAAAAGTGAGAAGAGAGAGGAAAATAAAGCAAAAGAGACATCTGTGAAAACAAAGATTGGACTTACTTTTCAATAACCAAGAATGACAGGGCATAAAGTGGTGTTGTACACATTTCCATCCACCTTGTCTTCATCCTTGTTATCTGAATTGATGGTACACTGATAATCTTGAGGATTTATATGGTAGTCGTCCTCATCTGAGCTGTAATGATCTGATTGATCATTGTTGTTGTTGATATCATCGGAATCGACTTGAATGATTGGAATGGGCATTGCGAGGTTGGTAGGAATGGAAGGCTTGGATTTGCATGTCTTGATACCGAGTGACTTCAGGCCCTTTTTGACCACAAGGCCTAACTTGTGAGCATAACAACGTACATGATTGCGTTCGGTGTTCCAAAAAACCGGTTCGTCCATGTTTGATAAAACTTCTGCAAGCTCCACTGCCATGGTGTTGTTGTTTGAGCCGGAGTCGGTGGTTTGAGCTAATAAGTAAAGGGAGAAACAGTGACAAGAGCATGAGTCAATGAAATAGAGATAATGATGCGTCAAAAATGGAATACTTATATTATGGTGGAGACCATGCTTGATGAGAAAATGGGCCACAGGTTGAGCTAGAAGGACGCCGTAATGATTCCACACAACCAATTTGAGGGTAAGATGGACTATTCGATAGGTCCATTTCTTGTCGATGAAATTACAGTGGGTCTCATCAAAGCCCAACTACCCCCCCGTAGGGGGGGTTCAAAATTTTGGCCTCTGAGGACCTTGAAAATCAGTGAAAAAAGTCATTTTCACCGTGCGATTTGACTGATCTGGGGTTGGATTCCGCTTCGGGAACCCACTTTTACCAAGTTTAAAGCCATATATTACCCTCTGGTACCCATATAGTAAGCCTAAGGATGTGATTAAATGTGCTTGGTTCGAAATATTGCCCAAATGTCTAAAAAAAAGTTTTTTTTGCCTCGCACGCGTCCATCCTCATAGGATTAGAATGAGATAGGTCCCCCGAGCCCATTAAGCTTATTAAAATGTGTGCTATGTAATTATGAGGTGTGTATAATTCATCTCAAACTTGAAATTTTGCTTTGCGGGCGCGGGGTA